ATCCTGCCATTCAAGTGGGAAAGCAAGGACGGAGTTTCAGATTCCTGGTTTCAGCTTGGCTTATAACCCTAACTGTTGTGGGCATTTGGGGAAGCGAAATGGCAAATGAAAGACAATCACTACCTCCCCCTGTCAAATTAGTAAATCTGGGGGGGGGGGGGGGAACAAAAAACAGACAAGAGACAAATTCATTCAACAATCAGTAGGTGCTTAATATTGCTGGATATTGTTTTAAAAACCCTATCTGTATTATTTCATTTTCCTATTACAACGACCCTAGGATACGCCATTGGCGTATAAACCAACGAGGAAACATTTATCACCTAAATAACTTATTCAAGGCCACAAAGCTGTAAGTGGAAAAGCCAAAATTCAAACCCAGGTAGTCTGCCTAAAGTTGCTGGCCTTTAATATACCTCCACATGGCTCGGTACAAAATGTGCACTGCATTCACAAATGCTGCCTGAAGTCTCCTGCAATCAAACTTCACAAACGATCTAACTTTTTGAAAAAACGAGATGATACATATACACATATAAAGTATATTAAAAGATACATCTGACATAACTACCACATGACTTAATGAAAACTATAATAATTTCCATTGCCCATCTCTCCATACTTGGTAAGACTAAAAAAGTATTTTACACTGAGTCTGGTGTGATGGCTCAACTGGCTAATCCTCTCCCTTCAAGTGCCAGGATCCAATATGAGTGCCAATATGTGTCTTGACAGCCCTGCTTCCCATCCAGCTCCCTGTTGTGGCTTGGGAAAGCAGTAGAGGGTGGGCAAAGACCTTGAGATCCTGTACCAGTGTGGGAAACCCAGAACAAACTCTTGGGTCCTAGCTTCAGAGTGGCCCAGCTCCAGCAGTTGCAGTCACTTGGGGAGTAAGACAGTGGACAGATTTTCTTCTCTGTCTTTCCTTGTCTCTGTAAATCTTCCTTTCAATCAAAAAAAAAAAAAAAAAAATGTTTTGTAAGAGCCCTGGGGCCCGGCGGCATGGCCTAGAGGCTTAAGTCCTCACCTTGAATGCGCTGGGATCCCATATGGGCGCCAGTTCTAATCCTGGCAGCTCCACTTCCCATCCAGCTCCCTGCCTGTGGCCTGGGAAAGCAGTCCAGGATAGCCCAAAGCCTTGGGACCCTGCACCCGTATGGGATACCCGGAAGAAGTTCCTGGATTCTGGCTTCCGACTGGCATAGCATCGGCCGTTGCACTCACTTGGGGAGTGAATCATTGGACGGAAGATCTTCCTCTCTGTCTCTCCTCCTCTCTGCATATCTGACTTTCCAATAAATAAATAAATCTTAAAAAAAAAAAAAAGAGTCCTGGTGGTAGCCTAGCTGCTAAAGTCCTTGTCTGCTCACCAGCATCCCACATGGGCAGCAGTTTGTATCTGGGCTCCTCTTCCCATCCAGCTCCCTGCTTGTGGCCTGAGAAAGCAGTAGAGGATGGCCTAGAGCCTTGGGACTCTGTGCCTACATGAGACCCAGACCATCTGTGGCCACAGAGAGTGAATCTTCTCTCCTTCTTTCTGTGTATCTTACTTTCCAATAAGTAAATAAATCCTAAAAACGTTTTATAAATACCACAAAAATTGATATAGTTTTAGTTAACTATGTATATTTAAGTATAACTTTTAGTTAACTAATCCAAAAGCCCCCAAACTAACTTCTCTACTTAAGAAGCTTCAAGGATAGCAAAAACTCACCAGAATTTTATATACTGAAATTTAAACTTACGGTAATCAGAAACAAGGATTTAAAAATTAAAGGGCCAAGCTTGTATCATTAATATTTTTCCTGAAGGAAAAAAAAAAAAAAAAAAAACTTGCTCCACAAGTAAATCAGTAAATTCAGTAAGCAAGTAAATTCAGAAAAGAGTATTAAAACCATTTCTGCAGATGATTCTGCAGCCCGAAGTCTGGTTAACATAAGAGAAAGTAATCAAAGAAAAGGTGAATTTAATGATTATTAAAATCAACTCTTCCTCACATTTATCTCACTTGAAATAATTACTGTTACCTTCCATCCACTGGTTCACCCCCTACAATGGCTCCCATGGCCAGAGCTGAGATGGTCAGAAGCTTGGAGTCAAGCTTGTTTCAGATCTTCCACGTGGATGCAGGGGCCCAAGGACCTGTGTTAGTTCCGCTGCTTTCCCAGGCCATTAGGAGGGAGTTAGAGCACAAGTGGAGCAGCTGGGACATAACCTGGCACTCCTATTAGAGAATCAGTATGCTATGTCACTAAGCCTTGGAGCCCTAAAATCAACTCATTCAAGGTCAACACTGATCTAGCTCCCTATGATGGCTTGGGAAAGCATCAAAAGATGGCCCAAGTATTTTGGCCTCTGACACCCACATGGAAGACCTGAAAAACCTCCTTATCCCAGCCTGGCCAAGAGCTGGCAATTGTAACCATCTGGGATGTGAGCTAACTAGCACCTGGACAATCTCTCTCCAACTCTTTCTTCTTCCTTTTTTTTTTAAGATTTATTTTATTTTTTTATTGCAAAGTCAGATATACAGAGATGAGGAGAGACAGAGAAGATCTTCCATTTGATGATTCACTCCCCAAGTGACCACAACAACCAGTGATGTGCCAATCTGAAGCCAGGAGCCAAGAATCCGTGTCTCCCATGTGGGTGCAGGGTCCCAAGGCTTTGGGCCATTCTAAACTGCTTTCCCAGGCCACAAGCAGGGAGCTGGATGGGAAGTGGAGCTGCCAGGATTAGAACCGACGCCCATATGGGATCCTAGTGTGTTCAAGGTGAGGACTTAAGCCACTAGGCCACTGCGCCAGGCCCTCCAACTCTTTCAAATAAGCAAATAAAAATTTTTCTGAAGTCCTGTTTTGCTGAAAATGAGAAAGAACTTATCCAACAAACTAACAGCTGATCAAAATAATTTTTAAATAAAGATAGATCATCTGTTTTAGTAACAGAATACATCATTGGCTCCTTTAAATATTTCCTTTTACATCTGAAATAATGTATAAAATCTTAATTTTTATTCCATTCTTCTCACTATTTTATCAAGTTTACTTGGGGAAGACTTCACAGAGAAAGAGACCATTAAGTCCTATTTAGAAAAAAATTTACACAAAATACATAGATTAAATTCCAAACACAGCAACTATAATAAAGAGTAAGTTATCTACAGATCACCTAGAACACAACCATCTCAAGCTAAAATACCCTCACGTTTTCCTTTTTTCCTGAACCTCTGTTTTAGTTAAAATCTTTTAACAATCTGGGTTTCTCATTTCCCATCTCATTTTCAGCTTTAGTTGCAGCAGCCACAATGGTTCAGCACCATGACTTAAACACACAATGCTCACGTTAGAATATAGGTTGCTACCTACACTAGCTCAGTCTCTGGACTTGCTTTACTCAACTATAAAACAGGTGATCAAACAGTCTCTACATGTATGTGTCTATAAGTTAATAAATATAAGGCACATTGAGCAACAGCTTGTTCCTGACACATTAGACTTAGAACCATAAAACAGATATGCAATCTGCTGAAGCATGACTCAGAACTGTATGTTTTATCTTTAACCGGGCACTAACAAGTATTTATAACCAGAAATGTAGCCCCACACTTATCATCCCAACTTGTTAAAATGGTTAAAATGGTTGAATTTGCCTTCAACTAAGTTTCTGGTTGCTTATGAGAAAATCCCAACTGCTCCCCAGCATTTTCTTCCAAAATATGAAGAGCTTTAATATGAATGGAACATGAAATAACTCCACCCAAAACTAATAGAAGTGAATGTTGATACCTACAGGCGCACATCTCTGAGCACGCTCATGCACAGCTAGTGACAAATGTCCAAACACAAAGCAACACGTAATTTTTATGAAAAATTTTAAATGCTTTTCTTGTAAAAACATGTATTTATATACATAATGTAAGCAAAAAAAAAAATTCCTAGAGGAACTGACAAAAATAATTAGTTGGAAAAAAACGTAGGAAGGTAAATCGAAAGTGATTCCTCAGGAAAGGCAACAGCTTAAGACTAATCCGCAACTAAATCACCTTTTCAAAAGCTAAACTATTATTCTTGGTTCGTAACCTACACCTCTTCCTTTTTTAGTTAAACTTCTGGGTTTGATGGCTTACAAATAAAAGCAGAAAGACAGATACTAACACAGAAATAAAAGCAGAAAGAAAGCCTTTTGTAAAAACAATACAAACAGGCACTCCACACCTGAACAATGTTTGTCCCACTCTCCCAGCTTAACAGCACCCCTATTTCAAGCATTAGAAGAGATCATGAATTCATCCAAGTAGAAGCTTAAATCGATTCGAAATTACCAGGATCTCCAGTTTGGGAGTGAAAGGACTTATGCCTAGCCCTGATTTGTGTTCCAGAATGAAAACATGAAACACTATTAATTCCTTGTTGTCCGGGTAGAGAATAAAAATATCTAGGTTAAAAGGAAGTATTTCCAAAAAATTGCTACCAGCCAACTTCAGAGCACAAAGTTGGCAGATAAAACTGACTTCATCGCACATTTTCAGAACTACAAGCAAAAAAAAAAAAAAAAAGCATCCACTTTTATGTAAACTTTGAGTGGGCAAACTATGAGTTTATTTCTTGTCTCCACCTTGTGAAAGAAGTCTTCAAGATAAACAACACTCCTTTTGGAAACAAAACAACCAGAAGACTCAGTCAACCTATAGCCATCACTGGAAACAGCCAAAACTTTTACAGGCATGTCAGTGTGATTGAATTTATCACACTGTAGGGCCCATTTCCCCAAGGTGTGTAACAGCCATTTTAGAGTCATCAATTTTTTTTTTTTAATTTCACGGGCTTTGGAGAAAGAATCAGATTTAAAGTAGGAAGAAAAACTCGTCCAGATCTACGAGCTGCTTTTTAAGGGGCTCGGGGTTGGGGAGAGGACACAGGCAGATACTGCAAACTCTTCATCTAAACGTAAACACTTCGCTACAGCAGAGAGCCAGGGCAAGGAAGGGTTAATGTGTGTGTGTGTGTGTGTGTGTGTGTGTGTGTGTGTGTGTGTGTTTTCCCTTCCCTGCTACTTCTGACTTACACTTTTTTCCTCCTAAGGTTTGTCTTTGGAAAACAAAAGCTCTGACTTGGGTTTCAGAAATATGGCCAGGAAAAAAGAAAGCTGTAAAGCAAGCCTCTGAAGCAGCACCAGAACCGACCGCCTGGAGAGGAGCCAGAGAGCCGCAGGTGAGCGTTCCGACTCGCAAAGTTGACGGAGGGGCGAGCTCGCGCGGAGCCCCGTGCCGGCCGCCGCTGCCCGGCCCGTTCGCACAGCCCGGGGGCTCCGCTCGCCCTCGCCCTGGCGGCCCTGCACCCCAACCACCTGTGTGAGAGCTTCCCTCAACTAGTTTCCAACACTGGGCGGTTGGTCTGGTACCGGGCGGAGCCCAGAGCCGGGACGACTTTCAAGCCCCCCAACCCCTATACTGCCGGATTGTCCGGAACTCCCACTCACCGGGCAGCAGCGGGGCGACACCGGGGGACAAGACGCGACGTCTGGGGACCGGGGCCCCAGCTTCCTTGACCTGGCAGAGGTGACTAGCCCACAACCATAACAAAGCTCTTCCCAAAATGGCTGCCCGGCCCACAAGGCTCAGGAAGGGGCAGAGCGGGTGTCGGAGGAGGAGGAGGAGAGGAGAAGAGGAGGAGGAGGAGGAGCGACGACCAGCCCGGGCCCCCTCCCCCAGCCGGCCCCGCCTCGCACGCTCACCCGCAGGAGCGCACGCGCATGCGCACGGGCCTGCCACGGGCACCCTGCGGAAGACGGCCCGGGCCTCACGCTGCCAACGTCCGGCCGCCCCGCCCCCAGCTCCCCTTAGCGCGGAGCGAGGCGCGGCGTGCTGAGACCCTGCACGGGGCTCAAGCTTCCAGAGACGCGGGAACCGGCCGAGTTTAGCACACGGAGACACTCCCTCTTAACTCTGCAGCCCAGTGCCAGAGCGCGTGTGACTGAGCTAGGGATGTGTGTAGAGGCGTACCCGTATTCCCTGCCCCCACTTGGTCCACACACGCCGCCTCCGGGACGGAACGCGTTCCCAAACTCCCTCTAGCAGCGCCAGCCAACCGGTTTCAGAGACGCTCGTGTTTTCCGAGCCTTTCCCCACCTTCCTTCCCTTTCACGTGTCGCGGAGACTCCAGCCCCCAGCGGGCCCCGCGCTGCCGGCGCCGCAGGTCTGCACGGCCTGGTCTGGCGCGCTACCCGCTGGGAGTTGTAGTTCCCGGCTTAGGGGCGGAGTTTTGGCCCCGACTGAGGCTTGGCCCTGAGCCCAGAGCCGTTTCTCACAGAACGGGAAGGGGCGGCACTCCCGGGATGGAGAAGGAAATAAAAGTGAAAAACCCTAGGGGTGTGTGCGGGGGGGGGTGGGGGGAGTGTTCTAGTCACAACGACTCCGCGGGCTTCTTCAGCTTTCCTGCCTGAGAGCCACAGTTACTGGCTGCTCGGGGGGGAGGGGAGAAGACTAGGAGTGAGCTAAAAGATGGTCGCTTCGTCCTTGTCATTTGGTCTTTCACATAAGTGCTAAAAGCTATCAGTGAACGCAGCGGTCGCCCAGCAGTGGTTACTGTGAGGAAGATTTCGCTGTGGCTTCCCCGCTGCACAGAAAGCCAAGCCTGTGGGATGGCTGGCAGCTCCGATGACAGACTACCTAGACTGAGGAGAAATGGGGGGCAGCGGCCAGCCAGGGTCCATGGAGAGCTGGCATTTGCCTTCGGCCCTGTCCTTAGGCCACCCTGATCATAGGGTGCCGTGTCTGTCGACACGCTTCAGCCTCATTGAGGAAAGGGTCACAGACAGCCGACGGTGGCGGGGAGTCCACTCTCCACACTCCATCTCCTCTCCATGGGCTTATCACGAAACTGAGGATCCCACCCCTCGGGCTCTTTTTTCGGTAAAGGTTTAAGGGTCCAGCCAAGAGGATGACAATTGAAACGGGATTTTACTCTTTGCCCTTAAAAGCTGAGGACCCCAATATCCTGTCGAATTTACAAACTGTGTGGTTTACAAGGATTCCACAGAGGGCACGTGACTTAGCCATCTAGAGTCCCCCAGTCTTCCATCTTCCTCCTTCAGTTACTCCGAGAGTGTTCCAGTAGCTGCATTCTACCTTCCCCCACTGCAGGCAGATTCTCCCAGTGGGAACCCTGGAAGGGAGCAGCCATGGCGATCAACTGCCCCACTGCCGTCCTCAACGAGGATTAACCAGTGTCTCCCAGACGGAAAGCAGGACCTAGGAACCCGTGTGTTTGCAGGTCACATCTCCACCCGGACTCCTATTTTTGCTCCCCGGGAAGTAGGGGCAGTGGTCTACCTGCACCGGCCGGAAGTGCCTGTCTCAGGTCTCGGGCTGTGGCGTCTACCCGAGAAGCTGGCGAGTGCTAGGGCCACCAATGCGGCTGGGCAGTGAGTAGCAGGTGCGACTCCATTGGGCATCGTTTTCCTGAGGATCCTTGCGTCTAAACCGTCTAATCTCCTTTCCGCGGTTGTCCTTATAAGGCTTGCGGTTTGCCTCCCCACCGGGGGCATGACCATTGGAGCGTTTTTCGCCTAAGCTGGGGGGTGGGGGGCGGGGGGAGAAGGAAGAATTTAACCCTAAGGCATCAACTGCCTCCTTTAAGATTGAGGCTGTCATTTTCCTCCTTTAATACTCATTGTTGCAAATTACGAACTGTTCAAAGAAGCGGAGTGAGATTTTGAATGGGATGATGATTTTAAGGTGATTTTAAGCAAAAGGCAAGAGTGTTAGTGTCAAACAGAAATCAGCTGATCTCACTCCCTAGGTGCTTCAGTGTATGTGGAATCCGATGGTCAGGTCTGTGATCAAGAAATTCTTTCAACGAATTTATTTTTTTAAATGAACACTATAGGTGTGTTTCAACAGTTAGCTTCTCATGGTTAACAATGGAACTGTCAGATATAGATACTTAGAGTGTCACGTTAGACAGGCTTCTTTTTTAATGTTTATTTTATTTTGATACTTTTTACATATTTGATTAGGGTGCAAACGGTCGAGGGCTAGAGTGAAGTGGGTACTCCTTTGTTTTTGCTTTCTCTTTTTCATTACTGTATCTGGGGAGAGGGAAGAGATAAGGGGAGAAGCCACATCCAACCTCCCAATCATCCCTGGGGTCCCTGACGTGGAGCATCCTCCGAGGGTCCTGCTCAAGTGATTTTGATAATTCAACAGTTCTGAATTGTTGCCGATTTTGCCACGCCTCTCACATTGCAGTCTCTCCAGAATCCACTGGCTAACAGAGTCCACCTTAGAGTCTCCGTTTGACTAGGTATTTAAGGCCAACTCTTGGCTGGGGTTGTTGATCAGTTTGTACTGTCCCCCTTGTTATGATACCAGGTGTCCTCTGCAGTCTGCAGTGTACTGCCATATCCTCCATGTGCATCTGGATATGCTTAGACAGGGTCTTAACAGGACTAATAGCTAGTAGAATTGATTTGTTTGAATGACAGCATGATAGTGGGAGAGACAGATCTCTCATCCCCAAACGGAATCAGGGCTGGGCCAGACCAAAGCCAAGAGCAATAATTCCAGCTGCATTCCTTGTGGGTGTCAAGGGTCCCAGCCTTCTGACCTTCTGGCCTTCTGCTGCTGCTTTACCAGGTACATTAGAAGGGACCTGGATTTGGAAAGTTGTTTGTATATGATACTAGTGTTGTGAGCAGTAACTTAACCCATGTGTTTTGTCCCCCATGTCTTCACATTAAATTTTTGCAGTCCTATGAAGTAGTTGTTATTGTCCTTATTTTGAAGATAGCTGAACTGTAACATGAGGATTTACTAACAGGTTCAAAGTCATGTAGTTAGTACGTAGTGGAGTGCTGATTCCAACCCCACTTTTGATGCTGAAATCTGCACTGTAACAGGTTGTGATGTCTCCCAGGAGGTCATGGGTGAGGCTATTATGAGCATTGAGAATAAATGTCTAATAAAAGCCAAAAAATTTAAAAACAAACAAAAGACAAAAAGAAAAAAAAGAATTAATGCATAGAAAACCCATAGCTCAGCCATTAACTCACAGCTACATGTGTAGGTTTCTACTGTCATGATTTTGAGGTATAAAGTCTTAAGCCCTAAGGTAGAAATGAAGGCAAACAAAGAAGCTATGCCATTCAGTGCCAGAGATCAGAGAACTAGCATTCCAAGGAAGCAGCTGCCCAGTGTCACCTACAGGGAAGTGATGGGGTGTTCGTAACATCTAGATCATCTGCCTCTGTACCATTCTTCCTCTGGTATCAATCAGCCAAAGCTAAAAGAACAGTTGAAGAAGAAAATGTTTGTTTCTTTAATGTATCACTAGTTCTTTATTACATGGAAGAAATTCTTGTGAGTCAAGAATTAATAAAAACAAAAATTAAGTGGTAATTGTCTTTATACAGCAGCATGCTTCTGATTTGACCCCTCCACTTAGCTTTAAGAATACATTAATCCCAGCTGTCTGACGTCTTTCTGAACAAGACATTTACCAGGGCCCAAGATGTTTTACTTCATCCAGAGGCTTTCTCAACCATCTCCAAAGGTGGGTTTATTCGGCAAATACTTGACCACAGTTTGCAACTGTTTGTTCCAACTGGGTGGTAGTAGTATGGGACAAAAATGCCTTCTTCTTGCATTCTGGTCAGAGGGGAAGAGTTGGGTGAAACACAAGTAAAAAAAAAATCCAGTGGGAAGTGTTGTGTTGTGGAGAGCAATGTTTCAGGGAAGGGGAATAGGGAATGTCAAGAACAGATGTAGGGTCATACTTATTAGCAAAATAGGAGTAGGAGATTTATTTATTTTTATTGGAAAGGCAGACTTACAGAGAGAGGCTAAAACAGAGAAAGAGTTGAGCCAATAAAGAGCCAGGAGCCTGGAGGTTCTTTCTGGTCTCCACACGGGAGCGGAGTCCTAAGGCTTTGGGCCATTCTCGACTGCTTTTCCAGGCCACAAGCAGGGAACTGGATGGGAAGTGGAGCAGCTGGGGCATGAAATGGCACCCATGTCGGATGCTAGCACTTGGAGGTAGAGGATTAACCAGTTGAGCCAATGTACTGCCATCCCTCCTTTATTTAATTAAAGATTTCTTTCTTTTTCTGTCTTTCTTTTTCTTTCTCTTTCTTTTCTTTCTTTTTCTTTTCTCTCTTTTTCTTTCTTTTTTCTCTTTCTCTCTTTCCTTCCTTCCTTAATCCTTCCCAGGTGCATTAGGGAGCTGGATCAGAAGTGGAGCAGCCCAGACTGGAACCAGCACCCATAAAGAAGCAGTTTAATTTACTACACCACAACACAAAAGCAACAGTCCTAGGGATGTTGCTTTTGCAACTAATAAAATAAGCCATATTGTTGGATCCAACACAGTAGCCTAGCAGTTAAAGTCCTTGCCTTAAATGCGCCGAGATCCCGTATGGGTACCCGTTCGTGTACCAGCTGCTCCACTTCTTTCTAGTTCCCTGCTTGTAGCCTGGGAAAGCAGTCGAGGACAGCCAAAAGGCATGGGTTCCTGCACCTACCTGGAATATACCAGAGAAGCTCCTGGCTTCGGATTGGCTCAGCTCTGGACATTGTGACCACTTGATGGAATATCTTTCTGTCTCTACTCCTCTCTGTAAATCTGCCTTTCCAATAAAAGTCAATATATTTGTTTTAAAGCCATATAGTTAAGGACCTAGACTCTCCCTCCTCCTCTTTCAGGTATTTATCTTGTGGGATAAGATTAGTTTATGTATGTCTGATTTCAATTCAGTACAGTATTTTGCTTTTCAAGTTTTACAGCTGTTTTTCTTTTTTAATAATATATTTTTAGTTCTTATTTTTTAAATTATTTGAAATGCTGAGAGACATCTATCTGTGGTTCACTCTTCAGATGCCCACAACAGTTGATGCTGGGCCGGGCTAACTTATCAGGGCTCATGTGAGTGGCAGAGACCCACATAGTTGTCAACTGCAATGGCAAGATACTAGCCTGTATCACAGGAACTCCAATATGATGCAGATGCCTCATTAACAGGTGTGTCAAACACTCACCCTTATTTTTTATTTCTAACCAACACATCTTAATAATACATATTGATAGTATTTAGCTATAATACTATTTGATATTACTCTGTAGTCAATTAAGCCTGTCTATAGAGTTTGATGTGCTATGAGACAGGCATTGTGGTACAGTGGGTTAAACCACTGCTTAGAACACCTACATTCCATGTTACTTGCCAGGGTTGAAGTCCCACCTCAACTTCCAATCCAGCATTCCTGTTGCTGTGTATCCTAGGAGGCAGCAGATAATGGTTCACATACCTGCAGTCTCTGCCACCCATGTGGGAAAGCCAGATGGAGCTCCTAGCTTCACCCTGGCCCAGCCCTGGCTGTTGTGGGCATTAGGGAAATGAACCAGCACATGAAAAATTGTTCTAATTGTCATTTTGGCTCTCTGCCACTGTTTCTTTCACATAGATTTAAAAATATATATCAAGTAGTAAAGTGAACTTTGATGTGCTAACAGGATTCTGTTTTGTTTTTGCTGTATCATTTTTGGATAGTTAAGAAATATGGTGGTTATTTTATTTTGTCTTTCGTTTCTGTTTTCTTTACAGATGTTTAAGTACACTTTTACGTTGGGAGTAGGAGCCAGCAGGAGAATAGAAAAGCTTGCCCTGAAGTCATCTCTGCAGCAGAACTTTTCCTCCTTATTTTCGAGGTCTTGGTGTGTCTCCTCATCATTTCCGGTGTATATTAACAAGACACAATGTTACCATACATCCCCTTGCAGCTTTAAGAAGGAGAAGCAAGCAGTACTCTCCCCGAGGCCATCAAGTACCATCACTTACCTGACTGACAGCCCCAAACCAGCATTATACATAACTCTGGCAGGACTGATCCCCTTTGTTGCTCCCCCACTGGTCATGGTGATGACAAAGACTTACATTCCCACATTAGCTTTAACACAGATGGCTTATGGAGCCAGTTTCCTATCTTTCTTGGGAGGTGTCAGATGGGGTTTTGCTCTGCCACAAGACAGTCCAGCCAAACCAGACTTCTTGAATTTAGCTAATAGTATGGGTCCTGTTGTGTTTTCCTGGTTGGCCTTCCTTACTTTTGAAAGGCTCAATGTAGCCATAGTCACAGTCATGATAGGTTTGGGCATGGCATTACACGCTGAACTCTTTCTCCTGCCACATTATCCCAAGTGGTTCAGAGCCCTGAGGTTACTGGTTACGTTAGTGGCTTTTTTATCATTTTTAATAACTTTAATAGTTGAAAATATTTATCCAGAGAAGGGACCCAAGAGAGCTGTTTAAATAAAAGAAATATAAAACTACTTTGTTGATAACATTAGTGTATTGTTATAAGCCTTATAAAGTTGTATTTTGGCATCACCTTGTTTGCTTTTTATTTGGATCTTTGCCCCCTACCCCATGAGTGCTAGTATATTCTACATAGGTTATTTCTCATTTCGAGAAAATATTTTATAGTAATTAGTTGAACAATAACACGAAAATCCTTCTAGGATCTTTAAATATCTCGTGGCTTCCATTTATTCTTTCGATGAATTATGTCACCTATTTAATCATTTCAATTTTTTTAAGACTTATTTGTGTTTACAATTTGTTTTTTAAAGATGTATTTTATTTTTTATTGCACAATCAGATATATAGAGAGGAGGGGACATAGGAAGATCTTCCGTCCAATGATTCACTCCCTAAGTGGCCACAATGGTCGGAGCTGCGCCTATCGAAGCCAGGAGCCTGGAGCTTCTTCCAGTTCTCTCATGCAGGTGCAGGAACCCAAGGCTTTGGGCTGCCCTCAACTACTCTCCCAAGCCACAAGCAAGGAGCTGGATGGGAAGCAGAGCTGCCAAGACATGAAGGCAAGGGCTTTAGCCACTAGACCACTGCCCCAGGCCCTACAATTTTTTTATTATTATCATTTTATGATAGAATTCCACAGGCCTTGGGATAAACTTTACTTCCCTCTCTCCAAATCCCCTCCCTCCATTGAGGTCCCCTATATTATTAGTATGTATAGTTCTATATAAACAGTTATATGTGGAACCGGCGCAATGGCATAGTGGTTAAAGTCCTCGCCTTGCACGCGCTGGGATCCCATATAGGTTCTGGTTCTAATCCTGGCGGCCCTGCTTCCTATCCAGCTCCCTGCTTGTGGCCTGGGAAAGCAGTAGAGGATGGCCCAAAGCCTTGGGACCCTGCACCTGTGTGGGAGGCCTGGAGGAGGCTCTTGGCTCCTGGCTTCGGATTGGCTCAGCTCTAGCCGTTGCGGTCACTTGGTGAGTGAATCATTGGACGGAAGATCTTCCTCTCTGTCTCTCCTCCTCTCTGTATATCTGCCTTTCCAATAAAAATAAATAAATCGTAAAAAAATACCAGTTATATGTCCATCATTGTGGGCATGGACAATGGCAGAGTCCAGTATCCTATTGTCAAAATATAGTTTGCAGTTTCATTGGTAGTCCATCTTTGTTCTGGAAGTAGAGATGCATGTTGCATTGTATTTTCACATCTGGATATGATAGTCTCCATTACACAGTTACTATACATTCCCTTAAATGAAAAGCCACAATACAAAACAACAGAGAAAAATTTACAATGCCATAAAGTTCTCAAGAGGTTACATTAGTTCAATGGTCCTGAATTGCTGGTGATCCTGCCACTCCAATCATGAAATCTCTCCAGAATCCACTGGCTGCTATGGTCCAACTTAGAGTCTCTGTTTGCCCAGATCTTTACTGCAAATGCTTGGTTGGAGCAGTTGAATTTTTCTATCTTCCGTCCTCTGCCATGGTACTAGGTGTCCTCTTCTTAGGCTTCAATGTACTGCCATATATCCATGGGCACCTGGATATGCCATACACTGCTCCCTCTGAGCCACTGAGGAGGCCCAGCTTTGACACATGTGTTCCACGTTCAGACCATGGAACCTACAATTCTATCCATGGTTGGGGTTCTGAGTCCAGCGGTTCAGTTGGTAGGGAATCACCAAAGAAACCTCATCTGAGGCCATCCCAGACCTGATTCTTGTATATGTGTTTGCCAATACAGGGTCTGGCACAGTCCATCACACACACTATCAGCCTACACACACACACTGATAGTTGCAATTATTGGGTCAGTTCTGTCTCCAGCCCCGTGTTTTATGCAAACCAAAGGGTGTTAGCATCCAGCCCAATCCTGCCCACCACATATTCAGGCTTCACATTAACCAATGGGAGCTATAATCTAGTTGGAGCAACCCGCAATAACCACCACCAGGTCCGCCCTCTACCCCGGTACCCCTGCTTGCCAGTATATATAGTAGACTGGTCCTATCTGTCCCACATCCCATTCGGCTCTCATTCATGTCAATGGACATTGAAGTCCAGTTTATCCCAACCACCCACACTCCATTCTAGTGCTTGGATTTGCCAGTGGGTGATATGAACCAACCCAGCCTGGCCTGCCCCTGACCTGCGCCAAATGTATGCAGATGAGTACCATATTTTGGCCTGGTCTAGGCTGCTCCCATGCCTTTATTCTTGCATTCATCTGCAGGGTGTGTGTCCCAACAGAGGATTTCCCCAAGCTCCTCCATCAGTAAGTCTTCCAATGCCAGATCTCATGCACACCAGTGAATCCATGGGCCAATGCTACTTAGTCCACCTCATGTCTCACAGGAACAGTGGTCTTTCCTGACCAGCCCTCAGTTGTTGTTCCTGACCGATTCCAGTTGTTATTGGGTGCTGCACCCCAGCCATGCCTGTCCCACACCCAGACATGGCTCATGCATAGCTCAGCAGGGCAGAGACCTAGCCTAGCCAGTCCTACACCCACTGTGGTTCTCATGAGCAACAGTGGGTATAGAGTCTAGCCCAGTTCAGTGCATCCCATACTCAGTCCACACCCATGCCAAGGGATCCTGCAGCCATATCGAGACCAGACCACAGCCCTCTCGCTCTCCAATGGGAATCCCACCCCAACCAGGGCATCTTCTTTGCTCCCCAACCAGGCCTGATCCCATCCACAGATCTTGTCCATGCCTGTGGTTGCTCTGACCTGGCTTGGCATAGACCCTCATCTGTCTTAGCCTTTGCCTTTGGATGTTATAAGCTGGCCCGATCTAACCAGCCCTTAGTCCCAAAGCTTTGGGACCCTGCACCCACATGGGAGACCTGGAGGAGGCTCTTAGCTCCTGGCTTTGGATTGGCTCAGTTCCAGCTGTGTGGCCACTTGGGGAGTGAACCATCAGACAGAAGATCTTCCTCTCTCTCTCTCCTCCTCTCTGTATATCCGCCTTTCCAATTAAAATAAAATAAATCTTAAGGGAAAAAAAAAAAAAGAAAATAGTCCACTACAGGATAATAAGGAAGAAAAGAAAGCCCACATTTTTCAAATCTTTCTCAGGTTAACTCTTGTTAAGGAAACTCATTTATTTGTTTCTAATTTTCCTGATCTCAATTAAATGCATTATTTTTCAGAATAGGGAAAATGTACATATTTAGGCAATTGCTCTGTTTCATAAGAAATACTGCTATTTTGCAGGTAAATTATAGGGTATATTTTTTTCAGAATGTGCAAGTTCATTTGATTAAATAATTTTGAAACACTGAACTGTCACACATACTTGAGAACAGACACTAATGGTTGCTCAGAAAATGGAATTAAATGTAAAAAAAAACAAACTTTCCTAAAGTTAAAAGAAACTATACAGTAAAAACAAACAAAAAAAACCACACACACACAATAATTTACAATATCCTACCATAGTTTGGTAATTCAGGGATGCTGCTAATACTAAGTCAATAATACTTTGTAAAAAAAAATCCAGATATGTTATTAATACATTCTTTTAAAAACATTAGTCGTTACATAGGATATACTGAGATCTGGATTTATTTAACCCAAACATTGATTGTCTTGGCATTACATTTCTTTCATGGCAGTGCAAAATGGCTCTCTTCACAGTGCCTTTTTAGGTTAGTGCTGCATGATAATGAGAATGGAATTATATTTTGTAAATCTGTTTTGAAGCAAAATACAGATTATAACTAGAAATATTAAAAGCACATAAATGAGAGCTTAAATTGTCTACAGATTCTCTTATTGGTTCATTATCAGACATCTTAACAGATTCCAAGCATGTATCAGTGGCCTTTTAACATCCAGGGCAGTCCTGCTTTCTGTGCTACATAAGTTTTTCCTAATACGTGTAAATGATAATTTATGAAAGTTTATGGGCCAAACCAGATCCTTTGGATATGATTGCTACCTGAGTTATCAATTTTATCTAAAGATTTTCTAGCTAAATTGCTGATGTTGCCAACAATATACTGAAATAAATGAGAACTCAGTTCTTAAGTGAGCAAGTTAAACCTTCATGCACTGTGACTGGCCAGTACGAATAATTCATAGTTAGTGGTCACACACAAAAGATGGATCTTTCTCTCAGACATGGAAAGTTTTTCTGAGCAGGTGGGGGGGGGGCGGAAGGGAAGTTTTATGAAGTAATTTTTCAAATTTTGGAGTATCTGCATAGACCTCACTGGTTAAACAAGTGAAGTGCTCTGAACTCTGATATCATATTGACACTTAAAACCTACACATTTCAGATTTTTGGATTAGAGATATTCAATAAGCTCTTATAACAGCCTCCTCCAATCCACAAAATAGCATTGTAGTAAACTGGTTTTCAAGCTTGCCCAGGTTCAAGTAAATTTCACAAAGTATGATAATCTAATAAAATGTCCTCTTAAAACCATACAGATAATTTTAGTGACTATCTGAAAAGCAAATTTCGAAATGCTTAGTACAGCCTGCTGGGCTATGTCACCCTTTACAACATTCTACTGTAATTAAGTCACTAAGAAACTACTCTTTATTATTTTCTTGAATTCTCAAAATCAAAACAAAAATAAGAGAACAAAAGCTTTTTGCAGGCTGTAACAAACAAGCAAAACTCATCTATGTAAATAGCTAGACATTTCTCACAGCTCCCACAAGTATATCTGCTAACAATAAAAAGTCTGTACCTGGTGAAAACTATCATGAAATAAAATAAGTTGTTTCACTGGCTAAATTTTCAGTAGCATAACCATGGAAAATTGATCAGAAGTTTGAAAACTGTATTCCTACATCATTTATAAGTTATGTAAAAGGGGATATTACTCACACAGACTTTAACAAATAATTTTTACAAATAAGACTGCTGGAAAATTTATTAGTCCAAAAAGTCATGTCTATTGTTTGTAAGACTGGCAAGTTTGTGTGACCTCTTTATTAATGTAGGGTATATTTCATAGGTCCTCTGATTTTTAGGGAAAAAAAATCACTCTTTTGTCATTTATCTACCAAATACATGTAAAACTCAAATAGAATCAGGAGGTCCTATTACCAAACATGGTTGATTTGCAAAATACTGCATCTGCCGAATGTTCGTCATGCTCCATTTTGCTTTCTGTTTCATAGCACAGCGACACCTCCTTCACAGCGACTGGTGATCATGTTACCGATTTCTGTCCAAGTATCTGAATGAGGGTTATAAACTTCAACTGAGTCCAAGGTGCCTGGGGCCAAGAAATCATGACTGGAAGCCCGACCTCCGGAAACATAGAGAAGACCATTGACTGCCACAACACACATGCCTGCCCTAGGCACTTTCATTGAAGCAACTTCAACCCACTTCTCCTGGTAAAGAAGGAAAAAGAATGTTAACAGTGTCATATAATGACAATAGGGAAAATCTCTGAGAGAACAAATACCCTGGTTCTTTTCCTGTGTTTAAATTCAAAACTTACAACCCCAGAGAATTCTAGAGAACATCTTAAAATGAACTTGCTGGTACCTATAAGCAGAGGATTAGCCATCTGAGACATCATACCAGCCCCAATTTCCCATAAACTTTTTGAAGAATTCCCATACATCTAAGAAATTTCAATGCCTTTGCAAACAGGTTAAACATAAAACTCAAGCAATTTACATCACAATCAAGTTACTGCTAATTTCGGGAAAGGAATTAATCTTAAAAGGCTTCCAATGATACAAAGGCACATTAACATGGAAGAAGAAAGATAAAAATTTTTGCTGACTTTCTATTAGAAACTATGCAAAATAAACTGACCAACCGAGGGCCAGTGTAGTGGCATAACAGGTAAAGTTTTTGCCAGCTACATTGGCATTGCAATAGTTCAACTCCAAACTGTTCCACTTCTGTTCCAGCTCTCTGGAAAATAATGGAAGAGGTTTCAAGTGTCTGGGTCCCTGCCAACCTTTTGGGAGACTTCAAAGAAGCTCTTGGCTTCATTCTACCACAGGCCACCATGGCCATTTAGGCAATGAACCTAAATGGCAAATGAAAGATCTTTCTGTCTCTCCCACTCTATTTGCAACTCTGAAGGTAAATATAGAAATAAATCTTAAAAAAAAAAAAAGAAAGAAACTAAACAGTATCATCAAGGTACTGAAGAAAAAGAAAAGGTTGGGGCCCGGTGTCGTGGCCTAGCGGCTTAAGTCCTCGCCTTGAACGCATCAGGATCCCATATGGGCGTCGGTTCTAATCCCGGCAGCTCCACTTCCCATCCAGCTCCCTGCTTGTGGCCTGGGAAAGCAGCAGAGGACGGCCCAAAGTCTTGGGACCCTGCACCCGTGTGGGAGACCTGGAAGAAGTTCCTGGCTCCTGGCTTTGGATCAGCACAGCATCGGCCGTTGCGCTCACTTGGGGAGTGAATCATCGGATGGAAGATCTTCCTCTCTGTCTCTCCTCCTCTCTGTATATCTGACTTTCCAATAAAATAAAATAAATCTTAAAGAAAAAAAATAGTTGTTCTAAAGGTCTGTACTCAGTAAAGCATCATTCAAAAATAGTGGGTTAGGCTGCAGTTTGTAGCACTGCCATCCATATCAGAGTACCAGTTAGGTGACTCCTTTCTATTCTGCTTCTGAGCCAGCTTGTGTCTGGTAAGGCAGTGGATGATGGTTCAAGGACCTTGGCCCTTGTCACCCATGTGTGAGGCCAAGATGTAGTTCCCAGCTCCTGGCTTCAGCCAAGCCCAAACCTGGTTACTGCAGCCATTTGGGGAGTTAACCAGCGGATGGACAGTATCTCTCCCTCCCCCTCTTTCCCTTCCACTCTGTCACTCTACTTTCAAATAAGCAAATGAATAAATCCTTAAAAACAAAAGATAAGCACAGCATTACAAAAAAAAAAAGACTCCTAACTTCAATGTGTACACAGCTAGTAACAGAACTTCAAAATCCATAAAGCGAAACATGACAGAAATGAAAGGAGAAATACATACATAGTCAACAATGATCATTTAAACATTCCTTTCTTAGTAATTGAAAGACTATTTGGGGCCCGATGGCATGGCCTAGCTGCTAAAGTCCTCGCCTTGAATGCTCCAGGATCCCATATGGGCGCCTGTTCTAGTCCCGGCAACTCCACTTCCCATCCAGCTCCCTGCTTGTGGCCTGGGAATGCAGTCGAGGTAGGCCCAAAGCCTTGTGACTCTGCACCCGAGTGGGAGACCTGGAAGAAGTTCCTGGCTCCTGGCTTTGGATCAGCATAGCATCAGCCGTTGCGCTCACTTGGGGAGTGAATCATCGGATGGAAGATCTTCCTCTCTGTCTCTCCTCCTCTCTGTATATCTGACTTTCCAATAAATAAATAAATCTTTTAAAAAAAAAGAATATTTGAGAGACTGTCTCCCCATGAAACTGTCGAACTTATCTGCACAATAAGATGCTGGACTCTATGTTTTGTAGATGCTTGCAAGGGAAAAAAATCTCAACTGAATTTGATCTGTGGTAATGCAACAAGACGGAAGAATCCACCATGGGGGGGGGGAAGCGAGTTTTGGAGGGGGGAATCCCAGTGCCTGTAAAACTGTGTCTCATGATGCAATGTAATAAAAAAAAAAAAAGAATATTTGGGCAAATCAGAGACTAGGGAAGACTTGTACAACATGAAAAACCAATTTCACTTAACGTATATATTAAATTCCATACTCAACAGCAGCAGAATACCCATTCTTTTCAGGTGCACATGAAACATTTATTAAGACAAAAACAATATAAAATATGTTCTCTAACCATAAAAGAACTCAATTAGGAATCAGTAGCTAAAATATATCTGGAAAGTCCCAATATAGTTATATATTAAACACTACTAACAATGTGTTGTCCCATAGATAAATTATCAGGAAAATTAGAAAATGTTTCTAGATAAATGCAGATTAAAGCATAACATGTGTGGAGCTCCATTTAAGCATCACTTAGAGAAAATCTTTTGCTTTCAAGAATTATAATCATAGAAAAATTAAATTATAAAAATCGTGTAAACTTCCACTTCAAAATATCTAAAGAGGAGCAAACTTTAAATAAATAAGAAGGAAAAATTATAGAAATCAAAGTAGTAGAAAATGAGTGGAAAAAGAAAATTAGAATTTTTGAAAAGGCAAATAAATTTAAAACAGTAAATAACTACTTTTATAAATGAGAGATTACTACCACATATAATATAGGCATTAAAAGGGTATTAAATGTTGAGACCATCAACCTACCTCTTCCAAGGAGTATTTTTCTACAGTACGAAGAGCATCTTGTGTCTCATTCCACCCTCCAACAGAATAGATGCAGTCATTGAGCGCAGCCACCCCAAGATAGGCTCTCCTGGTCCCCATTGGAGGAAGCGGAGACCAGCGCTTAGAAAGGGGATCATAAACTTCAAAAGAACGAAGCTCTAGTCCTTCATTACTGATACCCCCAATTACGTAAATTAAACCTGGAAATGGAATGGAAAATAATATTAACAGCAGCTAAATGTAACCGTTGTGAGCAGTTTGTTTTAGGCTTACAATATTCTAGAGCATATTATTAGTGTAAGAGAAAAGTTTCTATCTATCATATCTCAAAATGCAGAATGCTGAAAGAAACAGGGATATTGATCTTAGTTATTTGAAAAGTAGAGTTACAGAAAGAGATCTTGCATGCACTGATTCACTTCTGAAATGGCTTCAACAGATGGGGCTGGGTCAGGCATAATCAAGGAGCTTTCTCTGGATCTCCCATATGGGTGCATGGGCCCAAACAGCTTGGCCATCCTTCACTGCTTTCCCAAGCACATTAGCAGGTGGCTGAATTAGAAGTGGAATAGCCAAGACTTGAAGCTGAACTCGTATGAAATGCGAGCATTGTAAATAAGAGCTTAATTCACTGTGCCACAGCAGCATACCCACAGACAAGAATTTTCTATTTTATTATCTACCTGATGGGTTCAGGTTCCATATCTATCACTACCACCCACAGGTTAAAAAAAAAAAAAAAAGACAGAGAGAGAGAGAGAGAAAAAAAAATCATGAACTTAAGCTGTAAATACCTTGCTCTTTTTAACAGTACTTGTTGTCCAGGCATGAAGTAGAAAATTTAAATTAGTATAACCATGGGGCCAGAATAAGGTATAAAGATCAATCAGTAGAGTGCAACAAATGAACTTACAGAGTTATTTACTAAATTTGATTTGAAATTAATGCTTTTGAAAAGCTATGCTTACTTTTTGAATTCCTAGAGTTAGTCATACTCTAAAAGCAGAAGTCATAAGTTGTAAAAAAAAAAAAAAAAAAGACATTTTTAAGAAGCAAGGACTAAATGTTAGCAAACCTGGTTTCTAGTTCCAGCTTTGCCAGTAATCAACTGTGAGAAAAAAATAACTCAAACCTTCCTAATCTGTAGCTTCCTTATCTACAAATGAACAGCATTAAATTAGATCATTTCCAAGATCCTTCTCCAGCTTTACAACTTTATATGTGAAAAACAGAAATATTAAATAAAAACAACCAAAGAATACTATAACACAAAACAATAAAATATAATCTCATGTAATTCAATGCTAGTGGAAATAAGAGAAAGCATAGTGGCCAAAAAGCAGAAGGAACTTGAGCTGAAAGCAGACAAAACACAGCCATTTTATAACAATGGGCAGACTGATTTCTATTCCACGGGTGCATATGAAACTCCCTCACACAGGACAGAGAGCTGCATTCTATTTGACAGTTCCATTAGACATCTCTCACTGAGTAACAGACAATTTAAAAAAGGTCCACACACCATGTTAACACACACTCAGCATTTTTCAAATCTACCATAGGATTATGTTCTATGTGGTCTGAATTTCCACATACTGTGGTAAAAAAAAAAAAAAACCAAAACACTGAAGATAAAATCCTAAGAAAGCCTGTCCACACGGCAGTTAAAACAAGTCTTGATACCCTTTCCCTGCTTATAAATACCAACTCAGGTGTTTGTAGAAGAGAAAATAACAACAAGAGAGGATATCTCAAATGTTAATTTTCCTAGCCAGGAAATTCTAGCTTCAAGGAATTCTTAATTCTAGATTTGCTTATTTGGGGGGGGGGGGGGCAGGGGGAATTCAACTATTTTGGCACAGTAGCCTCGTGGCTAGTGTCCTCGCCTTGTACGCCCCAGTATTCCATATGGGTGCCGATTTGTGTCCCAGCTGTTCCATTTCCCATCAGCTCCCTGCTTGTGACCTGAAAGAGCAGTAGAGGATGGCCCAAATCCATGGGACCTTCTTGGGAGACCTGGAAGAAGCTCCTGGAAGAATGGCAGGTAATTTAGGAGCAATTCACAAATGCACAAATGTCTGATGGTGAATCAGCAGGAGCCTTATAAAACCATTCCAGAAAACTGAAACAACTAAAAAGCATAGAATTTATAGTTGCTGGGGCCTGGCACAATGGCATAGTGGTCAAAATCCTCGCCTTGAATGTGCAGGGATCCCATATGGGTGCCGGTTCTAATTCCCGGCAGCCCCGTTTCCCATCTAGCTCCCTGCTTGTGGCCTAGGAAAGCAGTCAAGGTAGGCCCAAAGCCTTGGAACTCTGCACCCATGTGGGAGACCCAGAAGAAGTTTCTGGATCCTGGCTTTGGATTGGCACAACTCAGCTGCTGTGGCCATTTGGTGAGTGAATCATCGGACGGAAGATCTTCCTCTCTGTCTCTCCTCCTCTCTGTATATCTGACTTTCCAATAAAAATAAAATAAAAATCTTTAAAAAAAAAAAGAATTTAAAGTTGCTAAAAAGTATTGACTTATTTTCAATAAATATTTCTTTTATTATTATCTTCCATGATATGGTTTTAAGGTATTCTTCTCTACTCCAATGTTAAATATACTTTTACAATATGATACCAGATTTTTCTACCACTGCCTATACCTACGATGCCATGATACACTTAAATGCAAAATGTTGGACTTGTTACTGGTGCTGAAGGACTATACTATTGTAATAGTCCTTACTAGGAAATAGTGGAAGGAGGTAGTTTGAGTAACCTTCAAACTCAATATGGAGAGTGCTTGGAAATTTGCAATAAGCTTGCCATATGACCCCTATCTCGCTCCTAGGAATATACCCAATAGAAGTGAAATGTGCATGTTTGAAGGGGATCTGTAATCCTATATTTGCAACAGCACAATCTACAATAGCAAAGACATGGAAACAATCTAGATGTGCTTCCAAGGAAGAGTGGTTAAAGAAGTTGTGGTACATCTACTCCATGGAATATTATTCAGCTATCAAGAAGAATGAAATTATTCTATTTACAACCAGGTGGTCCCATCTATGCTCAATGAAATGAGTCAATCACAAAAGAACAAATACCATATATTCTCTCTTATATAAGGAAACCAACATGAAAGGTTTAACTCCAATAGTTCAATCCATACTGTTTTCGATTGTTCGCTTTTTTGGCTATATCCCATGTATTTTGATGTTTTTTATTTCAGTTTGGTTCATCCCAAATAATCTCTTTTCTCCAGTTGAATTCATCACAGACTCATGAATTATGTGATGGCATCATTTTACCAAGAGACTTCTGTGTTTCCTTTTTGTCACTCATGTGTTGGTTACCCAGTGGCACGTTTTTCTTCATGGTGCTGTAATTTGTTGTTGATGTTGTTGTTGTTGTTGTGGCTGTTGTTCTAACTCATACCATTTGTTGACCTTGTTTCATGGCTTCTCACATATGGTAATGTATAGTGATGGAGAACTGAGGTTTATCATATACAGACGAGAGGGTACAATGGAACATGTATCCCTGCATCCAGATGAAAGATGGATTTCCACTGAAACTGTTGGACATGTGTAGACAATGAGATCTGGACTGGCTGACATTGTCTCTACCAACAATGTCAGGGTACACTTAAACAAGAGACTGATAAAATTATGATTCTTTATGAAGAACTACACTATTGTAACAAAATGGGAAAAATCCGATGGGGGGGTGGGAGTTTGGGGGGAAATCTAGCCTATACAAAATTGTACCACATAATTCAAAATTCAAAATAAAAATATATTTTTAAAAAACCTAGAAACTCAAAAAAAAAAAAGGGGGGGGGGGGGATGCAGCAGCGGTGGCCAGGTCCCAGGTGGCAGGTGACAGCTTGAGGAAGGCTCTTATATTGGCGCTCAGCAGCGGCAGGCTGGAGCTGCACAGGACAGGTGGTGCTGGCAGCTGCTGGCCAAGGGCAGAGGCAGAGAAAGCACAGGGGCATGCAACCGGAGGTTGCTGGAGGTTGCCCCAAGCGGCTGATCACACAGACCCTCAAGGGTGGCAGGCAGAGCGGCACTTAATGGCTCGTGGCACCCATGGGCGTGCAGTCGGCAGGTTTAGGTGGACAGAGGTGGCAGAAATAATAGTATTACCCACTTTCCTGTAGCCCCTGAACCTTTTTAACTATGTAATGATTATTGAAATTATAATAAAAATGGAAAATAAAAAATATTTTGAGGAAAAAATTTTATGAAATTACCTTGCATTTCACAACACCCAAAGTAGTAGCGTGACACAGCCATGTTGCCAACAACCTCCCATTTGTTTTCATCGGGATCATATCGTTCAATAGTGTTCCCTATTTCAGCTCCAACCCATCCACCTGTAACCAAATAGGAGAGCACTGTCGATTAAAAAAATGGCATTGACAAAGATCATTTCATACTACAGATGAGAATCGCATGGGGGTTCTCTGTCTACAATCACAGGAAAAACTATAATTTGACCAGGAATAGAGCTCAAGTGTTTAATTCTGTGTCTAGTTTTCACTAGAGATTAAAACAAAACAAAACTTCTGCATTACCTCATGGGGAACATGGTATTTTGCAAAACCCCCTTTTAAAACAACTTCATCTGTTCATACTGGTTATCCTATTTAAGGATAGTTTCAACACTAAGCAGAGTAAACTGTACAGAGTGACTTTAGGATCTTCGAAAAGGCCCTTCACCCCAAAACAGCATTCCCTTATTACTCTCCAACTCTTGAAACTGAACTATCAAAACCACTTAAGCAGAGCCCTCAGAGCATGCTCCACATTAGAGACCCTGGGAGGACATCGGGTGGTTGTTCCCCATCACCAGGTACTGAAGCTTGGGAGACTGGATATGGCTTCTCCCCTCATCTCCTCCCTTCCCCCAGGTACAAAAGGAAGAAAAATAAAATCTGGAAATAATGCTCTCATGCATTTTCCCCTAACCCTAGATCCTTCCCACCCTGATCAGCTATGTAAACATAAAAAATTTTTAAATGTTTTTAATACATAAACAAATATTTGTTTATATTTGCATGTGTGTGTGTATGTATGTAAGAGCTTCCATTGCCTGATTGGCTGGTTCACTCCCCAGATGGCAACACTGCTGGGGCTGGGCCAGGGTCTACCATGTGAGTAGCAGGAGCTCTCTTCCCAAGTGTACTAGCTAGGTGTTGGATTGGAAGTGGAACCACTTGGACTCAAAACTGCCCTTATGTGGGATGCCAGGGTTGCAGCAGGTGGCCTTAACTCACAACTATAATGCTGACAGTTCCATCTCTTTTTAAAGACTCTATCCTTGACAGTATCTCCCACATATTATATAACAATTTGCAGAACTGAAGACAAACATTTCTTATAGGAGGAAAGAAACACTTATAACACAATTATATATAAGATTTAAAAATATATTAACTATTCTTACTTTACACAGTATAATTACCTAATGCATAGATACCCCCATAACATACACACACTCCCAAACCACAGCGAGGGTGATTCATTGAAGCCACAGTTGTCCACTGTTTAGTAACTGGATCATAGCATTCAGTACAGTCAAAAATCATCGAATCTTTTTCACCTGAGTTAAATAAAAGAAACATACATCAGGTTTAGTTATCTTTTCTAATCACAATGATTCACTTCCCGAAAGGCAGTAATTGTCAGTCTGGGCCAGGTCAAAGCCAGGAGCCCAGAACTATATTCTGGTCTCCCACTTGGGTAGCACAGGCCCAAGTCATTGGAGGTATCTTCCGCTGCTGTGCCAGGCATATTAGCAGGGAGTAAAATTGAAAGTGGAGCTCCTGGGACTGGGATCAGAAGTCCAGTATGGGATGTAACCAGGCCACAATGCCAACTTTAACAACTGGGCCTAGTACAATTATTTAATCTTCCATCTTCAGGTGACAGGATCCTGTACCGGTGCCAGTTCCTGTCCTAGCTGCCCCACTTCCCACCCAACTCTCTGCCTGTGGCCTGAGAAAGCAGTTGAGGATGGTCCAGAGCCTTAGGAGCCTGCACCCACATGAAAGGACTGGAAGAAACTCCTGGCTTCCACTTTGGATCAGCTCAGCTCCATCTGAAGAACAAACTAGCAGATGGAAAATCTTTTTTTCTCCTCTCTGTAAATTTGCCTTTCCAATAAATAAAATAAAATAAATCTTAAACCTTTGGCATGAAATATTCAACATCGTATGCTCCAATTTCCTTCATTCATTTCCTTAACACTATTGAGCACACCAAAACAATGTACCATATAGCACATAGCAATAAAGATGTGTGAGAATGTAACCAACTAGCCTAATAACGGAAATAAAATGTTTCTACCATTACCTCCAATTGCATACACCATCCCTCCTAGAACTGCTACTCCCAGCCCACTTCGAGCTTGATGAAGTGAAGACACAGTGGTCCAGTACTGGCTAAAGGTGTCAAAACGTTCTACACAGCTGAGGGCTCTGCTATCGCTCCAACGACCACCCTGGAGCCGAGTGTATCCACCTAAACAAAGGAAGTACACAGCAAATCGCTCACTGATAATATGGACACAATAGAAAACCTAGCCCTCTCAAATTGCATTTCATAAAACTATAATATATCATGAAGTAAATGATGTAGACTCTGCCACTTACTAATGGCATACATATGCAAGATATTTAAATGTGTGCAAATATCACATTCTTAAATGAATCAATTCTTATAAGATTATGGCTTAAAAAGAGTAAGTTAACTGCAGTGTTTTTACTACGTGACCTTGGTTATGATAGAATGTTAGAAAAAGTATCTAGGTACTAGTTATCTGTATAGTTACTAGGTTTCACTATGATTTTCCTAGTATCTTTTCCAATTAAAAAAAGAGTTAAAATCCTTGGTGTGACTAAATACCCAACTGGATAAAAATGGTATAAACTTGAAGCTTGTATCCTTACATGTTATAATATATTAATAACAGAAATAAAAGCAGTTGTAACGGATTCCTCTGATGGTCTGATGGACCATTCTGCACACTGACACTTTGTAGATCATTGGTTCCTATCAATCATAATGACCCTCTAAGATAGTGAGAGTACTTCAAAACTTAAAGATCTCACTTCCTTATTTTTCACCTGATTTCAACGTCTAACTTTTAAAGTTGTGTTTCTTTTTTCATATATATATAAACTTTATTTTTAAATAACGATTACATGGTCGGTCAGGTGGGAAGGATTGAGGTTTAGGGAAAATTGGTTGAACTCATTGCTTCCAAATTTGCTATTTCTTCTTGTTGAGACAAAGGGGGAAACCACTCATGACTTTCCACATGTCCCAGTACTCAGGGATGAGGAACTGCCACCTTATATCAACCCAAAGTCTTAATGTGTAAATATTCCAAGGGTTCTGTCCAAGTGGTTTGGAATGTTCTAAAATGCTGTCATTTTCACCATTTCTTTAGTCAGATATTTGACTATGTATTCTAAAAAAATTCAGAGAATTAGCTCACATCTATTGGAACAGATGTCTAACAAGTCACTATTTTGGGAAGTTTATATCCTAACATATAAACATAATTTATAAACTGTCAGTATATGCAATTAAACATAATTCTTTAAAGTAACTATGCATTCCAACAAAATATTGAAAGAATTTAATCTTCAAATGTCTGTACTTTTTAAGGCTCTCACCTACTGCATACAGGTACTTTCTTGCTTTCTTTCGAGGTCGAACCTTGCACGTTTGTAGAAAACTACAAAACTTGCTCTCTTTGGGAGATTTGCACACCTCACAATACTCTTTCAAAAGTGTTTGCAAGGCAACACGAAGATTAAAATCAGATACTCCTAAAAGCAATATTCAAGAACATAGAATATTAAAGTCACATTTCTCTAAAGATAATATCCATTTAATAATTATGAAATAAAAATACATCATTAAACAATGGTGTTTGTTTCTTATAACACCAAAGATTTGTCATCACTAATGAAAAGCATACTTTCCTTAAATCAGTTATTAATGTTTAGGAAATATTGTATAATATGAAAACATAAATATGAGGATTTCCAAATACAGTAAAATAAAAGGGACCACAATTATCTAAAGAAATTAAAAATTGTCAAAAATCCTATATTTACAACCTAGTAACAGAAAGACAAAGTTACAAAGCAAGAAACTAACATTCTGATGGGATAAGGACTGTCCTTCAAAATGAGACTAAAGGACCAGGTTTGTGGCATAGCACTAAAAGTGGCCACCTGCAACGCAAGCATTTAACATGGACAACAGTTTGTGCCCTGGCTATCCATTTTTAATCCAGCTCCTTGCTAATGATATGAAAGATGGCCTAAGTGTGGGAGATTGGATGAAACTCTTGTAGCATGACTTTAGCCTGTCTCAGTGCTGGCCATTGTAGCCAACTGGGAAGTGACCCAACAGATGGAAAATCTCTCTGGTTTTGGCTTTCAGATAGATTTTAAATAAACAAAGGACATCAAATATGGTTAGGTAGATTGTCGCTGTTCAAGGGTGCTTAGGTGAGGAAGTAACTTGGGAATGAAAAGCTATCTGTCTTATGATACAAGTCCTAACCCTTGTATTACTGGGTATTATTTCCCAATTTGTACACAAGTACTATGTATGCTTACAAGGGATATACTTCCCAGCTCTTAAATTTGTCCCTATAACCCTAGCCATATTTTTACATTCCAAAAAGACTACTGAAGAAAGATGGTCAATAATAAAAATCTTTAAATTTTCATGAATATTAACAGTTCGGAGATATATAAAATGGACAGTGAAAGCAAAACTGAGAGAGGCTGAGGAACAACTACTAAAAGTAAAAGTCCAGAATGGGCATTTAGCTCAACAGGCAAGGCACCTGTGTCCCACATTAGACTGCCTAGTTTAGTTTCCAGTTCCAGCTTTGACTCCAGCAGGAGTGGTAGTGATGATAGGTATATAAATAATTGCGTTTGTATCACCCTCATCAGACACCTAAATCATGTGCCTGAGTCCTGATTTTGATCCTGGCCATTGTAGGCATTTGGGGTTTACCACCCCCAAGTCTATTTTAGAAAAAAAAATGTAATGGGAATATTATATATAGCCTTCAAACTTTATACTACAGAAAACAAAGTAATTATACTAAGGTATAAGTGATGCCATAGAGAGCTAGCTCTTACATTATCAATCAGAATACATAAGAACCTGCCCTGTGAAGGAACAAGTAGAATTTCCAGTAAGCATCACATCCTTTTAAGTACATTCCAAGGGAAAAGAGAAATGAAAGAATCCAGTATAGAAGAAAATCTTGGCCACAGACAGAAATAGATTATCTGTGAGTGCCTTAGCTCCTGGCTCACCACTCTACCTCCTGTGATACGATGCTGAGGCTGCACTGTTGTGTATACAACCTTTCTCCCACTTCCGATTGGACCAGGTCCCAGGATTAGGGAGACACCAGGAGTCCAATACAAACAGGTTGTTTTTGGTGCTAATCTTGCCGGAACCTGTTGGCTGTGAGTTCTGAGGGGCACACGGACATATTTTGACCCATACAATACCTAAGTAGGTATTAAAACATAACATGAGAACCCAGACCTTGAAATCATCAGAGGGAGTGGAACAAGTGACTGCAAACGAAGAACTGGATACCAAATGCAATAAGTAAAATCAAATTGTAAACCTGCTGGTGACACAGCTTAGGAATCTTCCAAAAGGAGAATCTGATAACTAGAAGTACAATGATCAAGAGTAAAAGAAGAGACAGAGAGACAGAGGCACAATGAATATTACTGAAGACTCCCTGCAAAGGAGCAAAGCCCTTTGCCAACCTCAGGATTAACTGAGGAAGACATTGAGAAAATGGGGGATACAGAATACAAAACACTTGTTATAAAGCTTCTTATCAACAATGAGAAGCACGTAACACAGGAGTTCAAGAAATGTAAGGAACATGTCACACAAGAAATGAATCAAATGAAAGCTCATACATCAGAAATGAAGAATACAATGGAACAAAGTAAAAGCACAGTGGAGAGTTTCCAAAATAGAATGAAGGAAGCAGAAGAAAGAATCTTAGAATTAGAAGATATTTCCCGTCACCAACGGGAAAACAAATGAAAAGCTGGAAGCAGAGCTGGGCCAAGCTAAAAAAAATAGTATTCAATAATTAAAAGATGGGCCTGGCGCGATGGCGCAGTGGTTAAGGTCCTCGCCTTGCACGCCCGGGATCCCATATGGGCGCAGGTTCTAATCCCCGGCAGCTCCACTTCTCATCCAGCTCCCTGCCTGTGGCCCGGGAAAGCAGTTGAGAACGGCCCAAAGCTTTGGGACCCTGCACCCGCGTGGGAGACCCAGAAGAGGCTCCTGGCTTCGGACTGGCTCAGCTCCAGCCGTTGCGGCCACCTGGGGAGTGAATCATTGGACAGAAGATCTTCCTCTCTGTCTCTGCTCTCTGTATATCCGCCTTTCCAATAAAAATAAAATAAATCTTAAAAAAAATTAAAAGATACTATTAAAAGACCAAATATAAGAGTTATGGGAGTCCCAGAAGGTACAGAAAGAGAAGCTGACTTTGCAAATGTATTTAATGAAATAATAAGGAAAAAATTCCCTAATCTAAAAAAAGAATTGGGAAACAACATTCAGGAGTGGCACAGAACTCCCAACAGGGTTGACTAAAAGCAATCTTAACCACAACATAATGATAATCAAGCTCTCTTCAATTAAACATAAGGAAAAGATCCTTAAATGTGCTCATGAAAAAAATTAATTGGCATACAGAGGAATGCCAATTAAATTCGCAGCTGATCTCTCACAGGAAACTCTGCAGGCAAGAAAAGAATGCAGTGACATAGTCCAGATTCTAAAAGCAAAAAATTGTTGGCCCAGGATATCGTACCCAGCAAATCTTTGCCTTTGAAAATGAAATAAAATTTTTCTATTCTTGAATATGCCTCTTTGAAACCGGTCCTACAAAGATTACTTATAGATAGTCTCTTGACAGCAAAGAATAACACCCACCAAAACTAAAGGTAAATATGAAGAACATCCCAGTGAAATAACAACAGAAGACTAAATTAATGAACAACCCATTGCTGAAATGACAGAACCAAATTACCACCCATATATATTAACCCTGAATGTAAATGGCTTAAATTCATCAATCAAATGTCACAGATTAATAGACTGGATTAAAAAAACAAAGCCCATCTATTTATTGCCTACAGGAGACACATATCACCAAGATCAGTGGAAACTATATCTCATGGATTTTCTTTCTTTTTTTTTTTTTTTTTTAGTTTCATCTCTTCAAAACACTTTCTCATTAAATTCTTCACTGACTCATAGGTCATACAGTAACATTTTCTTCAATAAGGTCCTTGATTTTCTTTTTTCATTTCTTCAGTGACACATTAGTTGTTCGGTAGCATGCTATTTAACTACATGGTGTTGTTAATTTCCTTTTTTCTTCCTGTTGTTGATTTTATATTGTGGCTTTTCATTTAAGGGGATGCATCGTAACTGTGTAACGGAGGTTATCATATTCAGATGTGAGGATACAATGCAGTATGCATCTCTACTTCCAGATCAATGATGAACTCCCAGTGAAACTTGACAATAGGATACTGGAATCTCTGCCCTTGTCCTTGCCCTCAATGATGGACATAACAACTGTTTAGGAAGAACTATACTATGGTAATAATATATGAGAACTCGATAAAGAGGGAGGGACTTGGGAGGGGATAAGGGAAATCCCAGTGTCTATGTAACTGTATCATGAAATGATATTAATAATAATTATTAATAATTGAAAAGCAAAGTCTCAAAGTAGACATTCCAACATGGGATGCAAAAGTTCCATGCGGTATCTTAACCACTGCCCCAAATGACTACCCTGAGAGGAAATCAGTATTAACAATAATAGCAGTAGTTATATTAACTTCATCAGTAATTTTATCTATAACACTAATTGCCTTAGTCATTAATATCATAAAGAATTCTGATTAAAATAATGGGCAGTAATATTAAAATACTAATATTCACACATAAACCTTAGTTGTATACAGTTATCACTCACAAAATTTTACTGAATCAAAAAAAAATCAAAGCCTTCTTACATTTTCAGAGAAAAAGCTCCTAGACAATGAATCAACTAATTTGATAATACAGCAAAAAAAAAAGTTACCTTCTATATACTTTAAAAGCCTCTGAGGAGGTAATAAAGGAAATCGAATTGGATCTAGCACTTCCACCACATGCTTTCTTCTGTTCCCCAGATCTTTCAGAATCCATTGCATTGCAGCCAAGAAAACTTGGTATTCATCCTCAATGCTAAGCTCTTCGCTGCGCAAAATTTTGATCAGCTGATCCTTTGTAAGTGCCAGGAACTCTTCCCCATTATGAACCTCCAGAAAATGGACATGAATATAGTTTTCTGTGAATTCCAAAAGATCATGGCAGGCAATTTGCTCAGCGAACTGAAAGATCCCAATGCAGTTCAGAGGATCAATTTGTCCTTTCAAAAATTCACAGCAAAGATGAACAACTTCAGTCAATTGTAGCATGTCTGCTGCAACAATCAACTCCTGGACATTATTCACGCCTATGTTCACGATACCTAGAGAAGTAGGGAGACAAAAATGACCACAGAATAAAGACACTGCACCTAACCCACTCAAAAGTCGATACTGGATAAGTTCATGCCTGCATGGTAGAAAGATATTAATGTAAAAAGGCAACAAGGAATTTGTAGAAAGAGCACATTCAATAACATACCTAACACTTATGAAATGGTGACAACGAACTATACATAACATTGTTCTATACATTAATCCAATCATCACTACAAACCCAAATGATAGATATTCACTTTTTTCCCCAAAAAAACTTAATTAATTTGTTCTCAGGTCATATGGTTAAGCAAGTTGCAGGATAGAGATTGACACCAAATTTCACGCTTTTTTAACATAAGGTTGTATATATAAATATTTACTGAGGCACGGGGAAGAATAAGATCATTCAATATGTCAATTTTAGAAGTTTTTTAAGTTTTTATTTGAAAGGCAGAGTTACAGAGAGGAGACACATACATACATATATACAGAGAGAGAGAGAAAGTCTTCCCTCTGCTGGTTTATCCAAAATAGCCAGAGCCAAGCTGATCCAAAGTCAGTAGCCAGTAGCTTCCTCACATGGGAACAGAGGCCCAAGGACTTGAGTCATTCTCTACTGCTTTTGTAGGTCATAAGTGACAGCCGGATGTGGAGCAGCTGGGACTTGAACCAGTGCTCATATGGAACACTGGCACCAGAGGCAGAAACTTAACCTACTATGGCACAATTCCATTTTTAATACTAAAAGTCTGTAACATAATAGAAGCTATTGGTCCAAGTGCGATGGACAATGGCTGAATCCTTGCCTTGCATGCACTGAGATACCATATGGGCATGGGTTCGTGTCCAGCTCCTTGCTTGAACCTGGGAGGGCAATAGAGGATGGCCCAAGGTGTGGAGACCCTGCATGCATGTGAGAGATCCAGAAGCTCCTGGACCCTGGTTTCTGATCAGCTCAGTTAAAGCTGTTGTGGCTACTTGGAGTGAACCAGCAGATGCAAGATCTTTCTCTCTGTCTCTTTCTCTCTGTAAATCTGATTTTCCAATAAAAGTAGATAAATCTTTAAAGGAAGAAAACATAGTAGAAGCTACTAAATTCTTAAGTTACATATACTGATTTCCTGTCCTCCTCCCAGAGTGCTTCATTTCCATAATTTATACAATGAATTTAGGAGAACATCAAATAGACAAATAGGAAAAAAAAATCACTATAATTTTCCTGCCAAGAAAGATAAGCTCTTCTTTAAACCTTATACTTGGCTTTAACTTTTTTCTTGTAATAAAGAGTAATAAAAACAGTGTCCTACAACTCAGTAGAACTTTATAAAAGTGCTATTTCCACTTATTTCTCTTTCATAAGTATCTAACCTGTAACATTCATAAAGCTTTGTGAAGGCAGAGACAATGTCCATCTGTTTCACTGTCATGTCACCAATATCTGAATCAAAAAAAAGAAAAACAGGACTAAATAAATGTCTGTTTAAAAAAAAAAAAAAAAAAAAAAAAAAAAGACTGGCCAGGGCCAACACTGTGGTACAAGGAGTTAAGCTGCTGCCTGCATGCAATGCTAGCTTCCCACATGAGCACTGGTTTGAGTCCTGGTTGCTATAGTTTTAACTCAGCTCGCTGTTATTGTGCCTGGGCAAGCAGCAGCAGATGGCCCTGGTACTTGGGTTTCTGCCACACAGCCAGGAGACCTAGACAGAATTTCAGGTTCTTGGCTCCATCCTGCCTGTTCAGCCATTTGGAAAATAAACCAGTGGATGGAAGATCTCTCTGTTTCCCTCCTGCTGTAACTCTGCCTTTCAAATAAATAAGGAAATTTCAAAAAAATGACTAAAGTTAAATAAAATATCTAGTGTCAAACAACCAATTAAAGGCAGAGGCTGATTTTAAATCCATGTAACTTGATTCTGAATGTGTGGCCAAGTGGGGAATGAATGAGCAGATGGAAGATCTCCCTTTCTTTGTCTCTCTTGGCTTCTATGTAATTCTGCCTTTCAGATAGATAAATCTTAAAGGAAAATAAAAGAAAAAGAAAAAGAAACTAAGGTGATAAATGAACTGTTAATAATTAATGACAAATCTAAAGTAGAGATAAGTAGAATAACAGGTTTTGCTACCCCCATTACAAATTTTCTTGCCCAATAAACACCCAATATTCACTTTCCTTTCACCCATGACAACAGAGTTCTGATTTTATTATGGGTGTCATGTGTGCTTTGCTGAAAATTACATTTCTTAGCAGTAAACTCCGAACTGAGTATGGTCAGGAGGGTGTAAGCAGTGGTCACAGAGGACCAGAAATGCTTAACAACAGCCCGAGATGACACACCCTTGTGATTTACTAACTTCTTCCTTCCCCTGGCTGGAGCACAGTGAGCATGAAATCAGCAGCCAAAAACCATTGATTATGGAACAAAATACTGAAAGAACACTGGACACAGACTTAAATTATGAAGCCACTATAGAGGCTTAGAAACTTACGAATTAATTTTTATGGAAACATAAACTCTTATCTTGTTAAACCATATAGTAACTATTTCTAGCAGCCAAATGCTGCTCTTAATTGATATCAATTTTGCCTTAAATGCCAATTCTCTGTAATGTTATTTCTCCCAGAATACGCTCATGAGGCTTCATTTCTCTATGTTTTACCACTTCTATTTCTTTGAAGAAAGTCCTAAGCATCAGGCCCAGCACGGTGGCCTAGCAGCTAAAGTCCTTGCCTTGAACACACAAAGAAAGATCCATGTGGGCGCTGGTTCTAATCCCAGCAGCCCTGCTTCCCATCCAGCTCCCTGCTTGTGGCCTGGGAAAGCAGTCCAGGACGGCCCAAAGTCTTGGGACCCTGTACCTGTGTGGGAGACCTGGAAGAAGTTCCTGGCTCCTGGCTTCAGATCAGCACAGCACTGGCCATTGCATTCACTTGGGGAGTGATTGGATGGAAGATCTTCTTCTCTGTCTCTCCTCATCATCTCTGTATATCTCTAACTTTGCAGGAGAGATTTTATTTTACAGAGAGAAGAAGATCCATCCTCTGGTTCACTCCCCAAATCGCCACAACAGCCAGAACTGAGTCAATCAGAAACCAGGACCTAGAAGCCTCCTCTGGGTCCCTCACAGGGCTGCAGGGTCCCAGGGCTTTGGGCCATCCTCGGCTACTTTCCCAGGCCACAAGTAGAGAGTTGGATAGAAATAGAGCAGCCAGTACACAAATCGGTGCCTATATGGGATCCCAGCACATACAAGGCAAGAACTTTAGCTACTAGACTACTGCGCCAGGCCCTAATGTTACTAAATTTTTATAAAACGGAAAAACAAATATTTTGGCTAAAATAATATATGCTAGTTATAATCATTTTGGGGTAGGAAAACAGAATTTTCCTTGGGGCCAGACCTGTGGTATAGCTAATAACACCACCATCTGTGACACTGGCATCCCACACAGTGTTGCCCCGCTTCCAACCCAATTCCCTGCTAATGCTGGAAAAAGAAAGGGAAGTTTGCCTAAGTGTTTGGGCTCCTGTCACCCATGTGGGATATCCTGACTGGCTCCTGGATTTGGCCTGGTCCAGCCCAGACTTTTGTGGCCATTTGTGGAATAAACCAGCAAACAGAAGACTTTTCTCTGTTGCTCCCTCTCTCTGACTTAAAAAATAAGTAGATACACCTTAAAAAAAGAAAGGAAAAAAAGAAAGAAAGAAACTCCTATATTCCTTTACTGAAAAAGGAACAGTCTCATCATTTAGGTCCTTTTTATGCACAAATACATATAAATTATTTTATTTTTTTACAACATTGAATTGCATTTTGTTCCACTTTTTAAATTTAACATATTATGAATATTCTCTATGATAGTGTTATTATATGCATATAATTATTCACAAGGTCTAAAAAAAAATCCATTATTTATACAGGTATCATTATTTAACCATAATCTATTGAGACAGTTTGATTGTATTGTTACAAATTATTATAAAAAATTATTATAAGTAACAAGTACAAAATCAATTAATTCCTTAAGGTTACTGAAAAAGGAGTTATGCACTAAAGACAGGAACTTTTCAAAGTCTCCTTATAACACATTGCTCAATTACCTGCTAAATAAGTCAGATCAATTTATGGTCACACGGTAGTGCACGAGTGATAGTATCATTCTTCATTTGCAGCAACAGGTTCTTAAAACATACCTGTGTAAATGAAGTCTAGAAGTATCTGAAAGATTCTAGCTTCAATCCCTAGAATTTCAACGACATCTTTTGAGGATTCCTTCATTCCTCCAGTGAATAAAGCTGCAAAGTAAGGACTACTGGCAGCCAAAACCAGCCGATGAACTTTAAAAGTTTCTTGTCCAACTTGCAGCTGCACATCACAGAAATTCTGTCTGTTCCTCATTCTATTGATCTGAGCCAAGATGAGTTGGGCATGTTTATCTGATGAAAAAGGACTATCAGTAGCCTTGGAACAGCATTCGGTAGCCATGACGACAGATTATAAAGGACTATTATCCATAATCTGCTTCCACCTGAAAAACAAAATACAAAGATGCCCAGTAACATTCTCTCATGTTAAAAAAAAAAAAAAAAAAAAAAAAAAAAACAGGCCTACCTATATACGCAGCAAACATTGACTATTCTTAACAGTCTACTATGGACATAAAACATACACGAAATGAATAAGGTGTGAGAAACCTAATATGGGTTCAGTGAAGAAATTAAATAGTGGAAGTTAAACCAATCAAGGGGGAAGAGAAGGGTGTTGTGATATACTGGATTAAGCCACCACCTACGTTGCTGCATGCGAAAAAGGTGCTGGTTAGAGCCTCAGCTGCTCCACTTCTGATCCAGCTTCCTCACAGTGCATCTAGCAAAGCAGCAAAGATGGCCCAAGTAGTTGGACCCCTGGCACCTTCATGGGAGACCTGAATGCCATTCCTGGCTCATAGTTTCAGCTGGTTCCATCCCTGATTGTTTTAGCCATTTGGGGAGTGACCCTGTGAATGGAAGCTCTCTGTGCCTCTCCATCTCTGTCTCCCACCAACCACAAGCTCTCTTTATAACACTGCCTTTCAAATTAGTAAACCTTAAAAAAAAAAAAAATTGGAGGATGCTTCAGAGAAGAAATGAGATCTAAAATGAATACTAAAAGACAAATAGGTACAGGTGTTTGGTTAAGCAGCTAGGGAACCATGACCCATACAGAAGTATCTGGGTTGGAGTACCAGATAAACTCCAGATTCTAGCTTCCTGCTAATTCACACCCTAGGATGCAGCAGGTGACAGTTCAAATACTTGGGTCCCTCCCTGGAAGACCCCAGATTGAGTTCCCAGCATCTGCAGTGTAAGCCATCAGATGGAAGGTCTCTGTTTCTTATTCTCCTCTATTTGTCTCTCTCTTTCAAATAAATAAGTTATTTCTAAAAAAGATAGAGTTAAGGCATAAGGAGAGGTCATACATTCTTGTGGATACATAAAATATTTGATAAAATAGCACAAAAAAACTTTTTGTACACTGTAATAAGCAAGCACACATCACAGCCAAAATTAAATTTCAAAAAAAGTAATTGTTACCAGCTCAGCTGCTTAAAATCCTTCAAACTGGTTGCAGGGAGAGGGATGCTGTTGTGACACAGCTAGTTAAGCCACTGTTTGTAATGCCCACATCCCATATTGGAGTGCTGCTTCAAATTCAAGTCCAGCTATTTGATTTCTCATCCAACTTTCTGCTAATGTTCCTGGGAAGGCAGGAGGTGACAGCTTTGGTGTTTGGGTTTCTGCTACTGGTCCAAACGTGGCTGTTGCAGCTCTTAGAGGAATGAACCAGTGAACAGAACGTCTCTCTTTTTCCCTCTGTATGTGTGTGTGCTGCTCTGCCTTTGAAATGAACATTAATGAAAAACAAAAACTTTCAAACTGTGTGTTTGCTATAGCACACACAGCCCTTCTGAATCTTGGTTATTACTCCAGACTCTGTCCAAACGTAACTCCCTCCAGGCACCTTGCCTTATTCCTCTCGCAGAACTTGGGGCTTACTCTAAGCTTACCTTACAGCCTCTATAATGTCCTGCCTTTTTTGGACACTAGCATCCTATGTGCAGCACACATGCTCGTTGAAAATCCAAACCCTAAGATCAGAGACTATCTTTCATAGTTATAACACCAGTCTCTAACATATTTTAGGTTTTCAGACATGTGTGAAATGGATGAAAACAATGAAAAATAATAAACATGTTTACATCGTTACCATTTCCACAAACTATGTCCTTCTCACCAAAATCAAGAGGCAAGAAAATAGGACAACTTGTCCCAGATCAACAGTGCTCCCCAAGCAGACAACTTTATTACAATGACAGCCATATTATCTGAATCTCACGAATACTCTAAACCCAAGGCTTTCTCTGCTGTATCATACTGCATAGGAATTATAATGCTATGCTATTAAAAAAAGGCGGGGGGGGGAAACTTGCCACTTAGGCATAGAAGCCTGGCCCTGCATCTTCATAGATTTTCAAGATTAAATACACAGTCTTATTTCAGAATTTTTATTTAGCTCTTCAGGGGGGATGAGGAACAGGGGAATGGAGTCATTTTTAAACAGCGTACAACTTCAGCAATGAGGATCAAAGAGATAAAGCCAAATTACCTTTTGAACAAAGAAACCAGAAGATGCTATAATATTGAACTGTGGAGAAATCTAAAATGACTTCAGTTTCACAATTTAGGCATCAAGGCAAAAAGGCAATTACACTGACAGCAATTTGTGTGGAGGTGATCTTAGAGAAATATCAGTTAAGTTTATAAGCATTCAAATTTATCAAAGTCAAAAACAACTAAGCTGATTGTCTTGACAAAGAATGAACGTTGAGAAATCTGTGAGCTTCTTGACCCAGCAATTGCAACCACCAGCTGATTGGGGCCACGGACTACACTGAGCCCTGTACTTGCAAGTACACACAAGAATATGGTCTCGGGGCTCCACAGGATAGCACAGCGGCTAAAATCCTCGCCTTGAACATGCTGAGATCCCATATGGGCGCCAGTTCATATCCCAGCAGCCTCGTTTCCCATCCAGCTCCCTGCTTATGGCCTGGGAAGGCAGTTGAGGATGGCCCAAAGTCTTGGGACCCTGCACCCGTGTGGGAGATCTGAAAGTAGTTCCTGGTTCCTGGGATCGGATTGGCAAAAGCACCAGCTGTTGTGGTCACTTAGGAAGTGAATCATGGGATGGAAGATCTTCCTCTCTGTCTCTCCTCCTCTCTGTATATCTGACTTTCCAATAAAAATAAATAAATTTTTTTTTAATTAATCTGGTCTGGAATCACCTGACAAAATTTCTTTTGGGATCTCCCCAATTGAACTGCCAGACTCAGAACCCTAATCATGAACAGAAGTGCAGGTTCCATGGTATGCCATGGAATGCAAGTGCCAGAGCATAGCCTCCTAAGAGGCTCAGACCGAGCAGTGGACAGCACAATCAGGTGCACGTGGAGGATATGGCAGTCTATCGGAACCTGCAGAGGATACCTGGCACCACAACAGAGGACAGAACAAATCGATCAACTACCCCATTCATATGTTGGCAATGAAAAACTGGGCAAACGGAGACTCTAAGATGGACTATGCCAATCAGTAGATTCTGCAGCGACCTCAAGGTGCTTGGAATGGCAAGATTGGCAGCAATTCATAACTGTTGAACTACCAAAACCACTTGAGCAAGACCCTCAGAGCATGCCTCACATCAGGGACCTGGGATGGGTGGGAAACTGGATGGGTCTTCTCCCTTTGTCTTACCCATTTTCCTGTAGCCCTTGAGCCTTTGTGCCCTAATTAACTATGTAAAGATTATCAAAAATAAAGAAAAAATGGGGAGAAAAAATCCGCAAGGTTCTAACGTAACTGCTAGAACTTGAGCATCCACAGAGTGTCAGCATATTACATTTTTTAACTAGCTTACAAAGACCGTGTATTTGTCTCCACACAAATGAGAACCTGCAGTCCCTAATGCAGCCTACTGATATACTAACCAAGGTTCCCTGAGACTGAACTCTAGCCGCTGACCTCCCAGTCTGATACCCCGCCTCTCACTGGCTGCAGACAGGATCCCGCTAATAGGAGGAACTGCACAGGGACTTAGGGCACCCAAATTTGAAGAAGCAGATTATTAGGAAACGGTGGACATGTCCCAAGCAACCAAAGGCCATCTGTTGGGTGTGTGACCTTGAATTTGCTGCCGAGAGCCTCTGGACGATGCTTTGGCAAAGATGTCGGAAAGAATTCCCAGGAGGAGCTGCAAAAAACCCCGGGTTTTGTGCTTGGGTTGGGGATGGGTGGGTGGCTAGAAAGCTGTCCTAGGCTGCTGCTACACTAAAAAGCAGCCCTACGCTACTAAAGGGCGGGGTGGGGGTAGGGCGAGTCTCAGCACAGGGGTCGAGGGAGAGGGGGTTCGGGGACATCGCCTCCGGCTTCCCCAGTCATGGCCGGGGACGGGCGAGGCCGCGGAGGCGTGGAGCACAGTCAGCTCTGTGAGGGCGAACACACTGCGGTTGTCTGAGCCGTGCCCGAGAAGGCAGAAGGCCGAACCACTTCCAAGGGGGCTCTTCTCTCGTCCTTAAGGGTCCCGAGAGCCCGGGAGAGCCGAAGAGGGAAGTTCCCACCCCCGTGACAGACGCGCGCGGGCCGCAGGCCTTCCTTACCCGCCGTCGCCCCTTCCCGCGGGCGCCCGCTCAGGCCCTGTGTGCGCAGGCGCGAGCCGCCCCAGCGCGGAGAGGGCTGGGCTCAGCCGCCCGGGTCCCCGGAAGACAGCGACGCCGCCGGGCCTTGCGGATCCGCGTCCGTGCGCTCGGCCTGCCCGGGCCTGCTGTACGTGCGTGTGCGGGCTTCTTCCGCTCGCGGGTAGCGGGACCGCGGGCACGTCCGGGCTGCTCATTACTGCGGCCCCGGGCTTGCGTTCGCCATCGCGCCTAGGTTCTCGCCGTGGTATCGCCTCAGGGCGGAAAGCATTGTTAAAGATTTAGAAGGTTGGCATGGTATATAGTAAACGCTGGGAGGATTCAGGCCATAACTTCGTTCTTAGCTATTTTACTATAAGTGTTGTTTCATTCTTGTTCATCCAGTAGAAAACAACGCGACTGCACTTAACTAATTCAACATTCCTGATTCTTATAAAATGTATACAACATTCCAGAGACATTATCCTGGCTCCGTCATTAAGGAGATAAATAAAATATGTGTTATGTATTTATATTTACATAAAAGTCGTGATGCTAAAAAAAACTGTAGCACCACTAACATTAATTTTATGACTTCCTGTTAGGTTGTAATGAGCAGTCTGAAAAGTATTAGTTTAGAACACTGAGAGTAACACGGGTATCTGCATCTACTGTTGCTCTAGAAAATACTTAGCCCTTTGCCAATTGTTCCAGTCTCCGTGCTCACCAGAGAGAGTTCCTTCGCTCTATCAAATGTTTCAATTTTGTATGACCTGGCAGGTGTAAGGCAGGGTTTCATTTATATCTGCATTTGTACT